CATAAACAACGCGCATGCATTCATATCATCATGTGTCACGAGTGCTTGACAGGTGCCATATGCACTTCTGTACTTGCGCGTGAACGCATGAATGTTAGTGGCTCACGAGACGGAGCGTGTATAAGTTTAGACGCTGTGTGTGTGTGTGTTTGTGTGTATTTGCATGTGTGTGTGTTGGTTTGCTGGATCAAGACAGCCATCTAGCTACCAGTGTCTGTAACTGCATGCTGCTTAACTGTTTGGTTACAGTGTCAGTCTAATGCATGCAGCGATATTTTGTGTGTATTTGCATGTGTGTGTGTTGGTTTGCTGGATCAAGACAGCCATCTAGCTACCAGTATCTGTAACTGCATGCTGCTTAACTGTTTGGTTACAGTGTCAGTCTAATGCATGCAGCGATATTGAATATTTTCAGATCTTTACTCTGATACTGCTGGGAAGAAGCTCTTGAAGGGTTCAGAGGTGATCAAACTCAGTAAAGCAGGTGAGTGAGTGAGTGTGTGTGTGTGTGTGTGTACCTGTTTTTCTATTCTAGTGGGGACTTAAACCTGACTACACACAGACTCATGGGGACTCGTGTCACGGTGGGGACCTAAATTGAGGTCCCCATGGGTAAACAAGCTAATAAATCACACTGAATTAAGTTTTTTGAAAATCTAAAAATGCAGAAAGTCTCCTGTGAGGGGTAGGGTTGGTGTAGGGCAACAGAATATACGGTCTGTACAGTATAAAAACCATTACGCCTATGGAGAGTCCCCACTTTATACAAATGTAAACCTGTGTGTGTGTGTGTGTGTGTGTGTGTGTGTCATGATGGTGGGCGTTTCGTCTCATGTCATCGTGTTATTATTGTTGTCAGAGCTCATATTGGCTTAGGGTAATACTGTACTTTCACAGCATGCATTATCACTGTTTGCACCTTAAGTGGTTTTCAATTGTTGTCACCATACCAGAATTTTGGAAGTTCATACAATATGCTAATAAAAAAATCTATTATTATTAATATCATTATTATTATTAATTCATGCTACCAGTGAAATTACAGTGTTTCGTGTCTGCGTTAACAATACATTTGAGTAATTACAGCAATAAAAAGAACATTTTAATGTTTTATATTTTACATTTTATTTTAATTACTAATATTATGTCTTTATTGTATTTTATTAAAATTATTATTTTTTAAAAATTATTTCAATATTTTGTTTTCAGTTTTATTTGAATTAATAATAATAATTAATATTATTTTATTAAATAATAATAATATTTAATTGTAATTATATTAAAATAAGTAAACAATTTAAAGGATTTTAATATTGCTTATTTTAATTAATAATATATATTTTTTATTTTATTAAAATAAACATTTTAATTATATTTTAATATTTAATATTTTCAGTTGAAATTTTATTGTAATTTTATTAAAATAAATATTTTAATTATATTTTAATATTTTGCATTATTAAATAAAATGTTTTATTTAAATGTAAAATAATCTGTACTACCACGTTGTGCTTAAAAAAAAAAAAATCTGTTTCACATACTATTTTTACATACTAAAAAAACCATTCAGCGGTGTTTCGTACTTCACAGTATTTGCTACCAAAACACTAGCATTACATTCTGAATGTAACCATAATCTACCGTTTAAGTGTCTGACCACGACTCACTCAAGCAGCTGGTGTTAACACAGTTCAGCTCAGTCTTTCTCATTGTTAACATCAGCACTAGTTCTCTGTGTGAGAGTGTGTGTTCTTTCTCAGTGTGTACTAGCGGAAGCGCGCGGTGATTCTGCATGGACGGTGAAAGAAAGCTCAGCGAATCTGACAGGCTCCTCTGAACGCTTGCGTCACAGTTCTCCTCAGATCATCAGCGAGCTTACCATGAGTGACTAAATGCATCACTAAATGTGAAGTATAATTGGTCACTAGTCCGTCCTGCTTTAAAACACGAGCTGAGCGACATAAAACTGTAGTTTCAATTTGTTCAAATTAAATGCATAGTGAATGTGAAATAATTAGAGTCATAAGCAAATCTTTAAATATGGTTCCCATCTCTGTCAGCCCTCACTGGCAACCTTGGTTAATAATTTAGTGGGTCAGATGTGGAAAAAAACTCACATGCATCCAGAATCATTTTCATGTGGCTCGTAAAATGATTATAACATTAATTTAAAGGAATAGTTCACCCCAAAATGGAGATTTGCTGACAATTTACTCACCATCAGGCCATCCAAGATGTAGATGAGTTTGTTTCTTCATTACATTTTGAGAAATGTAGCATTGCATCACTTGCTCAGCAATGGATGCTCTGCAGTGAATGGGTGCCGTCAGAATGAGAGTCCAAACAGCTGATAAAAACATCACAATAATCCACAAGTAACCACTCCAGTCCATCAGTTAATGTCTTGTGAAGCCAAAAGCTATGTGTTTGTAAGAAACAAATCCATCATTAAGACGTTTTAACGTCAAACCTTTGCTTTCGGCTAAGATACGAGTCCTCTATCCAGGGATCAGTGCTAAGGATTTTTTCTACTGTGGCCCGGTCGGGCCAGTGGTTCAAATTTTTACTTGCCCTGCCAACATTTTCACTGGCCCTGCCACAAAAAATAAAATAGTTGCTGTTATAATTGTTTTTTTATCTGTTATCTTGTATTCTAATAAATATGCTTATATGACACCAATATTTTAGATACTAATTACATTTTACAATTCTCTATTTTAATTTCTATACCACAGCAAAAAACACTAGCCAAAAATAAACATAAATATCGACAGCCAGTAAATAAGAACAAATGAACAAATTACAAGTAATAGCACAATTAGATATAGGCCTATAGCACAAAAATAGAAATGAAATGATGCTTTAGGTTTATATGTTTGTAGAAAAATCACATATAAAATAACATTTGCATATTCTTCACTCTGTGTTGCACCTTGATTTTTCATAGCCATTTGAAATTAGAGGCAACCACTGCATTTTAATCATGAATTGAAAAAAGAGTGCAATGTTTGATTTATATTAGACTATAATTTCAAAATCTGAAGCAAAAACCGAATAACCTGACTTTAGCTTTGTGAAATGATGCTACATAAAACATCTGTAAGAAACAGAAACAGCAGACGGGCTGAATGAGACGCAGATTCACTCTCTGCCAGCAGGCGGCGCTTATGGAACAGCATACAGTGTTTTCTTGGTTACCGCTGGGCTGCGTGTATTAACACTAAATTAAATGCAAAATACGGAGTCAAAATGAAAAGAAAACGCCTTTTCTGAAAACAGTCAGTTCCGTTCCGCTCAGAAACGCATTCATATAAAATTCAATGTTTGGATTTTCTTCCTATATTTCGCGCATCGCGAACAGTGATCTTGTTCTGCCCGCTACAGTATTTTCTCCTCTTTGTGTCCGTCTTCAGCATCTCTGGCCTCTGTTAATGGCCGTTTACAGACTAAGTATAATAATAACGTAATATTTCCACACAGATGGCCATTGGGAAAATGATTGCAGTGCAGTTTGTGTGCAAGCACGGAAGAGAAGTTGATAAATATAAATTCAATATAGATTAATCATTGTTAAAACTACAAAGTTGCTTGCCAGGACGAGTATTTTGGCATACTTTTGTATGTATTTACCTATTCAGGCGGCTTTGTGCGCGCTGTTCACCAGGGTTGCCAGGTTTTCACAACAAAACCCGCCCAATTGCCCTCTGTTAATGGCCGTTTACAGACTAAGTATAATAATAACGTAATATTTCCACACAGATGGCCATTGGGAAAATGATTGCAGTGCAGTTTGTGTGCAAGCACGGAAGAGAAGTTGATAAATATAAATTCAATATAGATTAATCATTGTTAAAACTACAAAGTTGCTTGCCAGGACGAGTATTTTGGCATACTTTTGTATGTATTTACCTATTCAGGCGGCTTTGTGCGCGCTGTTCACCAGGGTTGCCAGGTTTTCACAACAAAACCCGCCCAATTGCTACTGAAAACTAGCTCAATGGCATTTCGAGGGGGACTCCCCGTTAAAAATCATGGCCTGGAGGGTAAAATACACGGTTTTGGCGGAGTTCCCCTGGTAAAATTCACACTCCGGGGCCTAAATATCACGTTATCGGGGTCGCTTTAACCCGCGGACATGAAAAACAACCCACGGCAACAGTGATAAAGTAGCCCAATTCTGCAGGAAAACCACGGACTTGGCAACACTGCTGTTCACACAGAACACAGCGCACGCGAGTACTGAAAGCAGTTGTCTTTCGTGCCCAAATGCTTTTGAATCGCTTGAATTTTTTAATTAACAAGTCTTAAAAACACATGCAAATGCTAAAATTTCGTGACGACGCAGCAGTCTTTCACGCTGGCCCCGGGTCATCAGGCAGAGTCGAGCCCTGCCTCTGTCCATAACATTGCTTTCTGCAGTGAAAACATCAACTTGTCTGAATCAGGAGAGAAATCTGCACAAAGTGAGCACTGTTTACAAGCTAAAACCGTCCAAAATAGATCGAAACAAAGATGTGTTCATTTGGATGTGAGAGGACAACAGGAGATGGACTTTTTCACGGGAGGAAGTGTTATTATGAATTATGTTCTCATATTTTGGCCAGAAGTGATGGTTTAGCATTAAAACGCATTAATGATGGATTTGTTTCTTACAAACACACAGCTTTTTGCTTCACAAGACATTAAGTGACGGACTGGAGTGGTTACTTGTGGATTATTGTGATGTTTTTATCAGCTGTTTGGACTCTCATTCTGACGGCACCCATTCACTGCAGAGCATCCATTGGACTCATCTACATCTTGGATGGCCTGAGGGTGAGTACGTTTTCAGAACATTTTTGGGTGAGTTATTCCCTAAAGAGAGTTTTTTTTTCAGAGAGCTGCAATAAGCAACACTTTTCATGTTTCCTTTGGGAGAAAAAGATGACAGTGTTTTTGCTACACCACAGGACCATTATAAAAAAGAAAAGAAAAAAAGAACCTGCGACCTTTGGGTTGCAAGTCCGACTCTCTAACCAGTCAAACTTTTATTCATTTTGTCAAAAACAAGACCGTTCTATTGCAAGATGATTTTTCCACTTAAACTACAGCCGATGTGATATTCATGCATATATGTGAAGTGGTTTTGAAAGTTGTCAAATTCACTGATTCTCTCTCTCTCGGCTGTAGATATGCTTTTGTATGGTCCCGTCCCAACCCATGAGGATTTCAAACCTGTCTTTTGCAATGCCTGCAACAAAGTCGTTGAGCCTCAGGACGTCCTGACTCATTACGGTAAGTGTGTGTTGGCCGGAACGTGACAGTCATCATTTGGACTGTACTGATACAGATTTATGAGGAGGATTCTATTTGAATTTAATGGTCTCGTTGAGTTCTCATTTTCTTGACATTAGTGCACTGAGGTGTGTGTTAAAGGCTGATATTTCAGATATTCAGTTCAGAAAGTCATTATGTGCTTTGACTGATATTTCGGGATTTCCCGTAATCAGATTGTTTTGGGTTTACTGTGCAGTCTTCAATGCATTTATCTCATCATTTGTTCATTTAGAGAGAAATAAACGGAATGAATGAGTTTTAGAGCTCATATTAATGATCTAGAAAATTGTAAGTCTGATTGCTTCATTCGCCTCTGTAGTGTTTTGAAAGACTGTTCAAATCACTAACCTTGAGTATAAGCGGTAATAATAGTTATGCTTGACATAGTAGACAGTCCTAATTAAATCAAAACCTTAATTCTATGGCTAGAGCTAAATATATAGATGATATGCAGAGGTAACCTGTGTAAGGTTATGATAGAGGTGTTTACTGCTGTAAAGCAAGAATCATGGAGTCATTTGCCGTTTACATTATTATATGTGTTGCAGTCCATAGAACAGCCTGTTTAAACCGCAGTCTTACACCTGAGGCGTGTTAAAACACTGTTTAATTTAGCAAACGTCATCAACTTAACCTTCTGTTAGATCTGGGCACTGTGGGTAAGAGAAACAGACTGGTTTTAAAGGGGTCATATGATGCTTTTTTAAAGATCATTATTTTGTGTATTTGGTGTAACAGAATATGTTGACATGCTTTAATGTTCAAAAAACACATTATTTTTCAAGTACTGTACATTATTGTAGGTCCTCTATGCCCCGCCTCTCTCAAACGCTTCGTTTTCTACAAAGTCCCTCCTTCCGACAAGCGCAGTCTGCTCTGATTGGCCAGCTGACCCAGTGCATTGTGATTGGCCGAACACCGCAAACACTCGTTGGAAATGTAACGCACCTTACCGTAATCGCGAGCTTCATCTTTCAAAATAAATGTGACAGACACAGTGATGAAGCTGGTATGTGTTTGTAATGTGACCCCCTCTCTCTCTCTCTCTCTCGCTCTCTCTCTCTCTGTCTCGCTCGCGCGCACACACACACACACACACACACACATGCACACGATGCGCAAAACTCCGCATTTGAGCAGTCAATAGCAAATACTTAAACTAATAACAAAGCAGTAGCTGATTCAGAAGCGCCAGATTGTCATAGCAAAGTCAGAATGACCTCCTCTCCTAGGTTCACGAAACGGTCGTCCAAAAAATGCATTGCTGTTCTGTTGTAAGTAATCTTAAAGATTCCTAGATGCATCTACTTTCGGAAGGCCAAATAAAGTGCTTCTGCTTTCGTCTAGAAACACACAGCGTCTCCCTGACATGCTGCTTCAACACTAACTGCGGTTACTGAAACTACGCCTTCTTTCTTTGCGTGCACATTTGGGCGGAATTATGCAAATATTTCCACATAGTGAGGTAGATATGTGGGGGCGTGTTAGAACGAGCCGTTTTAGGGGTGTGTGGCAGAGTCTTAACTTTGATGAAGAATATCTCTTTGGTTTTGAGACTTTAGTCTTTGCAACTTCAGGGATCTTATCTATGCACAATCAGCTTGTAACACTCCAAAGAGAAAGGACAACTTGAAATCGTATCATATGACCCCTTTAACAGTATTCAGATTGCTCGGCTAAGTTGAGTTGCAAGCCATGAATCAAACCCAACAAGATGAATCACATTGCAACCTTTGATTTGAAGCAAAAATTGCATATATATATATATAATGTATTTACACTGTCGTTCAAAAGTTTGGGGTTGGTTAGATTTTTTTAATGTTTTTGAAAGAAGTCTTTTATGCTCACCAAGGCTGCTTTTATTTGTTCAAAAATACAGTAGAAACTGTACTCTTGTGACATATTATTACAATTTAAGATAACTGTTTTATACTGTAACATATTTAAAAAAATTAATTTATTCCTTGGATGCAAATCTGAATTTTCTGCATCTTTACTCCAGTCAAAAGTGTCATTGCAAATTGCTTAATCAAATCAAAAAGGATTGTTTACTGTAAAACTATACACTTTATTGTCATTGATAACCACTATAAGAACAATATATCTTAAGTTGTAAAATATTCACATATAGGCCTACACAACCGTTCCAAAGTTTAGGGTCAGTAAGATTTTTTTAGAAAAAATAATACTTTCATTTAGCAAGGATGCATAAAATTGATTGAAAGTGGCAAAGACATTTATGAAAAGACAAAAGATTTCTATTTCCAAATAATGCTTTCTATTCATCAAAGACAAAATGCATTACGGTTTTCACAAAAATATGAAGCAGCACAACTGTTTCAACATTGATAATAATAATAAATGTTTCTTGAACAGCAAATCAGCATATTAGAATGATTTCTGAAGGATCATGTGACACTGAAGACTGGAGTAATGATGCTGAAAATTCAGCTTTGATCACAGCAATAAATTACATTTTAATGTATATTTACATAGAAAACTGTTATTTTGAATTGCAATAATATTTCACAATTTTACTGTTTTTATTTTTTTTTTTATTTTTTTATCAAATAAATGTAGCTTTGGCGAACAGAAGAGACTTCTTTCAAAATTTTTTACCAGTGCCAAACTTTTGAACATTGGTGTAGCGAGACTGTCTTGATGTCATTTGCGATGCTTTATGGGAGCGAACAGCTGGTGGAAAATTTCCAGTAAATTTCGGGAATATTCCAGAAATTTTGGAAACTTTCCAGGATTTTTTGGAATATTCCAGGGATTTTTTTGAAAGTTCCCGGAAATTTACCGGAAATGTTCCACCCCTTTGCAACCCTAATGGTAACAGTGACTCTTCTAATTGGTGGATCTCTCTTCAGGATTATGGGTAGTGTCATTTTTCACACAGAATTTGAGTATTAAACAGTTTCTTTTTTAAAATTTTAAAGTTTAAATCTTGCTCACTTGTGTATTTACATCTAGATCTGTCTTGAGAAGTGCAGTGTTACAAATCAAAGTCTGAGAAAATTAAAGGGACTTCAGTGAAAGGGAACCTCTTGCTGGGAGGAATTGCAGAATGTTTATGTTGATGTTTGTGGCTTAAAAGTGATGGTTCAAAATGAAATGAAAATGAAATCAATGAAATCAAAAATGAAAATCGTCATCATGTACTCACCCTCAAGTTATTCCAAGCCTTTATGAGTTTCTTTCTTCGGTTGAACAAATAAATTCTGAAGAATGTTGGTAAACAAACAGTTGCCAGCAGCCATTGACTTCTATAGTATGGAGGGGGAAGTCATTGGCTGCCGGCAACTGTTTGTTTACCAACATTCTTCAGAATTTATTCTTTTGTGTTCAACTGAAGAAAGAAGCTCAACAATACAATACAATACAAAATACAACATACAATACAAATTAAGGGCGAGTAAATGATGACAGAATTTTCATTTTTGGGTGAACTATCCCTTTAAAAATTAGTTTGTATTGCATTGTTGTTATGGATGAGTACCGAGAACTGGTACGTAATTGGGTCGATACCGGAATACCGATAAGCTTCAGGACAAATGATACTGTTATCGATACTTGCGTTGTTTTATCTCCGTATACTTCAATGTTAACGACGAATTAGAAGCTGCTGCTTTCCTTCACTGAATGATGTGGCCGAATAAAAACTAGGTTGCACCAGTGTCAGATGCAATATATGCAGTAGTGTAATAGTGAACAAAGGAGTATATTATTATATTATTATATTACATTAGTAATATAATGAAACATTGACTAACAAAATACAACATCTACCTCAAGCAATGTGCTGTATTAGGCTATGTCTCCCGGCTCCAGCTCCAACCGAAACTCGCGAGACACATTCACATCAAATGTTGATTCGGTAGAGTTACACTCACGAGACTCTGCACTTATTCGCAGTCACAAAAGTACATTATTTCCGTGTGCTTTAAAGCCTTGCCGGCTAAACGTTTCATTTGTGTGCTGTTCTAAGGGGCCGTTCACATGTAGCGCCTAAAACGCGTGGAAAATGCTAGGTGCGCTGCTTTCTGCTTTTTCCCAATGTGTTCGGGTGCTTGCGCTCTGGAGGCCTCTGCCGTTGCTAAGCAACCATGACCTGCGCTCTCCATGAAGACGCGGAAGTTTCAGCAAAGGATAAATGGATTTGTAGCACTAAAAATCGCTTGCAGTAGCTCTGCTGCTAAATTTATTTAAAAATGGTTATCCCTGATCAGCTGTTCCTTCATCTTGGCTGAGCTTTCAATGTTGTTACGGGAAAAGGATGAAGCTGATTGGTTGGTTCTTGTCACATGACCCGCGGTGTGCTTGCTGCGTTCTAAAAAGTTGAAATGTTTTTATCTCGATGCGGTGCGGACGTGCCTGGAAAAAATGAGTGCCAAAACACTGTCAAAACACACAAGGTTTACATATAAACACAGTTAATTATGTCTAAAGTGAAAGTAAACAGTTGAGAGAAAAACAGATGCGTGCAGCTCTTAAAGCGGCAGTACTAAACATGCTGCCGCTTGTCATTAAAGAGATAGTTCACCCAAAAATATTTTATTCTGTCATTATTTACTCAGTCATGTTGTACCAAACATGTATTCATTTTTATTTACTCTTGTGCTGAACACAAAATAAGATATTTTGAAGTATATGGGTAACCAAACAGTTGCTGGTCCCCACTGACTTTAATAGTAGGAAAAAAGTATGAAAGTCACTGGGAACCAGCAACTGTTTAGTTTCCCACATTCTTCAAAATAACTTTTTATGTTCAGCAGAAGAAAGAAACTCATTCAGGTTTAAAACAACTTGAGAGTGAGTAAATGATGACACAATTTTCATTTCTGGGTGAACTATTCCTTTAATGTTAATAAAATAAAACACAAAGAGAAAAATAACCGGTTACAGTTGCTAAAGTTCAGCAGTAATAAGATAACTTTTTCAACAACTTTTCACTT